CTGCTGATGGATTTGGGGAAAGACATCAATAGAAGATGACGATTAAAAAAGAAAAACTGGATCAGCATCTTGGATTCTGTTAATCAGCTTTCTCTCTCTCTCTTTTAGATAGATTTTTGTTATAAGGTGCACGTGCTCATCAGAGAGATTGAAAGAGACAGAGAGAGAGAATGTGAGAAATCACCCCCACGCACACACCAGAGGGATGGCCACCTTGCAATCGCTTCTCCTCCATTCTCCTCTCAGGAGTTTGGGCACACATGCATGCTCACCCAGCGTGAATTTCAAGCCACTGGATCCGGGACTCAAACCACAGTTAGCCCTGTGGGAGTCCAGCACCTTAACCACCCTGCTGTTCCCAATCAGCTTTCTCTTGACCTCAGTGTTTTTAGCTTCATAAGACAAGTGTTTTGGGGAGAACTGCATCCAATTCCCCCCACCTCCTCTCACAGGGATGCAAATAACATCCTGGGGCCAGACAACGGTGCAGGAGTAAACAGTGATGCTCTGTGAGGCTGAGCCACATGGGAAGGTTCTGAGTTCCTGTCCAGAGATGCCCTTGAGTATGCCAGGGAAGCGTATGCCCATGATCTGAGGTTGGGAGTGAATCACGATGCTGAGATCCTGCTGGCAATTTTTCTGTTTCACTGTCTCTCTCTGTCTCCTGTCACTCACTTACAGAAGTAAATAAAATAAACTTTAAAAAAGAGAAGACTGGCCTCACACCATAGTTAATGGAGCCAGATCCCACAAAATTACAGCAGTTCAAGTCCTGGACCCGGCAGCTTGAAAAACACACCAGGTGGATGTGCATGCATGTCCCAAATCCTACAAGAAGAATGGAGGAGAAGGGATTGTGGTGTGGTCATCCCCCCTGCAGGATGCTTTCTCATTCTCTCTCTTTTCCAGCAAGCCCACACACCCTATAGCAAGTTAAAAAAATTAAAGGATTGGAGCATGACCACGTTTCATTGGGGGTGCTTTCTCTCTGTCTTTCTAGTAGCACATGCACTCTCTGACAATAAATAAATAGTTTTTAAAAAGAGACAATGACACTTGACTCCATCAACCAAGAATAAGAGGACAGATCAAGCAGAGAGAGAACAAAGTGGTAGAACTTTGTAGAAGGTAGAATGCATCCAACAGTACAGAGCCATTTCCACCCCATACCCTCTTCCCTGACCCCATCAGATTTTTTAAGCAAATGCAATCAGAGAGTGAAAAATGGCCCTGCTGGCCCTAGACCTAGGCCAATCTGAGAGGGCTGTAGAAAATTCATAAAGAAGGCCAACTTCCTGGTCATGAAGGCTCACCTAAGAAAAATCTCTACATAATCCGTGGGAAACTAAGAGAAATCCCTACAAAGGAATCTCCACTCAGCACTGAACACGAGCTCTGGGGAAAATTGTCAGTGAGCCACATGGTCCCTAGGGCACCTTGCTGTGAGACAAGGCGAGCAGCTGGTCTGCCTTCACTTGAAGGAAAGTGCATTATCAGTATCAAAAGGGCAGGGAGAACGTCTGGCGAGGCCGCCTGGCTAGGACGTTTTTGCAGAGCAGCAGCAGGAAACAGGACTGGACTATGAGGTGGAGCCTAGCTCACAGAACCTCAGAATTTAGACTGAGGATATATGACTGGATCTCCCAGCCACCTGCACTCAGAAATCTTCATAAGGGGTAATCATTTTTTTAAGACTTATTTTTAATTTTACTTATTATCATTATTCTTTAATTTTGACCAGAGACAGACAGACAGAGAGAAAAGGAGAGTAAGAAAGCAAGCAGCCAGGTTCAGGACTTGAACCATGGTCACTCATGTGGGAGTCCAGCGCCTCAACTACCACACTACCTGCCAGCCCTAGATTAGAAGAAATCTTAAAAGTGGAAGTTTATACAGCAAGATGTAAGGGGAAGAGGGACAGTTCCACCTTCACCTCCTAGTCACCGTGACTGACAAAGGCTGAGCACCGTTCTCTGGAAACATAAGGCAAGTGTATTTCCAACCAACCTAAAGAAGCGCCTATCAGGCCCCAGCTGCCTGTTTCCCCAAATCCCTCACCACACAGCTGCCTGCTCCCCACTTTGACTCAAGGGGTCTTCTCCTTGCTGTCTGGCCCCAAGGATTCATCCTGTAGGTCCTGAGAAGCCTCACCACCTACCCCTGCTCAGCTGTCCAATTCACGCCCTTCCGGAAGCAGGGCCTGCTGCTGAGGCTAGCCAGCTGGCAGCTGTGGCCAAGAGGGAGCCAGATGTCACCTTTTTGTGAATACCAAGAAAACTAAGAGAGATCGGGAACAGACTGGTCTGCTTAAACAGATATTATCGTAAAGCATACTGTGGCCTTTTGTATTGACTGAGCTTGAGACCTGACACACCAGGACTGCTGACACCCACAGCTACTTCTGGTTAAAAACCCCTGTGCATCCCACCGGCCTGGATTCAGGCCCAGGACTTACCCTGAGCATGCTGTCAGCTTTCCAGAAGGCAGAGGCTATCTAAAGAAAAAGAAGAAAAATGTGTCATCCTTATTTCTCCAGGCACACCCCTAAGCACCCAGGAGTGGCAAGAACACATTTAGAGCCCAGAGAACTGTTTCCACATAGTGGAAGTTTATGAAGCTAACTGAAGAGCACAGACTGAGTGCACACCAGTCCCAGCGTCCAGCTGCCTGAGCTCCACCCTCTGCTGTTCTGCCACTCACTCCCATGCCTGTTTCCTCATCTGTGAAATAGGAATAGTAACAATACCCATACTCACAGGGATCTAGGGAGTGCCCGTGAGGTCACACACAAATCACTGGCACCACGCCTCGCACAGAGGGCACACTCAGATGTCAGCCAGCAAGCTTAGTAGTAAGAATTTAAGTAAAACCCCTTTCTGGCACCCACTACACAAGAACGAGAAGTTCTAGAAACTGCTCCTGTTTTATCTGAAGTGCTCTCTCTTCCTGCCCACTTCCATCCAGCCCCAGGCTCACTTTCTCTGCAAACCTGTTTCTGATCTTTCTGGAACTTCTCAGAATCTGGCTCCTATCTACTATGCAATTTGACACTAATGAAGAACTGCCTTACACGACCTGAAATGTGTCTCCTATTTCCTGGCTACTTCCTCAGGAAGAGAGCTCTCCCTGCCATACGTAAGAGCATGCCCAGTGTGTAGGCCCACCCACAGAAGCCCACAGCTGGCAGTGTGCGACCACTTTACATATTGTTTATTTGTGAATCCCCACACCTGTCAAGACAGCTCTACCCACTGGTCAATAAATAGCAAGATGGAAATCCAGGCCCACACGCCATCAACTACTTGTGCAGAGAAGACCAGTTGCCTTGATAGATTATGTCAAGGCTGAAATGGAATGTTTGGGCATTCAATTCAATAAAATATTTATTGAGCACATGCCTTGCATAAGAAACTATGCCAGAGGCACAGGCTCTGCTGGAAAAGTGCCGAAAAGCAAGTTGGTGGAAGCTAACTGAAGGCAAGCATGGAATGACACACGAGAAGCGCCAAGAAGGAATGGGAGTCAGACAGAAGGGTCCAATCCCAGTCACACCGATTGCCAGCTGCGTGACTCTGGGCAAGTCATTTTGCCTCTCTGTGCTTCATCTGTGTGAGTCTCTTGTCTGTTAAAGATGCTCTAACAGTATGTATGCGATGGAGTTGCTACGGTCATGAAATAGATATATATGTTATAAGGGGCTCAGCTTGTTCCCTGTAGCACACAGTGAGAGCTCATACAAGTTGGTGTTTATTATTAATAACAGCAAACATCATGTATCATCATTATTCTAAAAAGAGAAAGCCCATCCAAATGAATGGATTTGACAAGCTTAATAAAAGAAAACTCTGAGTCTTGATAAATAATTTTGACAGAACAGGATAAGAGGAAAAACCCTGCAGAAAACAAGGTCACCAGAAAAATGAGCAGAGGAAGGACACTACAAAGCATACGAGGGATGAGTGAATAGTCTCATATAAGGGCTGAGGCAGAAAAGGGCACCTGGGGGTCAAATAGAAGAAAAATCTCTATAGGTAGGATCATATCAGAGAGTCTTGAAGGCCAAGCTGAGGTAAGCTTTCCACTCGGTAAGAGGAAATGGTTTATTCTTTTTGTGTTTCCCTATTGTCCACTATCAGGCCCTACTTTTTGGCAAAGTGTCAACGGCTGAGACTAGAAGAGAACATGACAAAGGGATGGTCGGGTCAGGCCCAGGAAAGGCTTCAGAGGGATCAGCACATGGCATAATGGCTATGTTGCTGGACTCCCACCTAGGCGACCATGATTCAAGCTCTGGACCTGGCAGTTTAAACTCACGTCAGGTACATGTGCATGTGTGCTCAAAGTCCCAAGAGGAGAATGGAGGAGAAGGAACTGTGGCATGGCCACCCCCCTGGGGGGTGATTTCTCACTGTTTCCGTCTCTCCAGCAAGAACATGCAGCCTATAGCAAAATCTCTCTCTAAAAAGAAAGAGAGAGAGAGAAAGAGAGAGAGAGAAAGAAAGAGAGAAAGAGAAAAAGAAAGAAAGAAAGAAAGAAAGGAAGGAAGGAAGGAAGGAAGGAAGGAAGGAAGGAAGGAAGGAAGGAAGGAAGGAAGGAAGGAAGGAAGGAAGGAAGGAAGGAAGGAAGATAAAGACTTCAGAGGAGCAGGCGAAATGTTCCACTGCTACAAAGGATGTCTAAGCATGAGAAACTAGCCCCAAGCCAGCATGTCAGGGATATGAAGAGTAGGGGCCTGTTCAGAAGAGGTTTAGATGCCTATGGGAAGGAGCCAAAAAGAAAGCCTACACTAATCCCCGAGGAAAATGTTGAGCTGAATGAGCCATGCAGCTCATGCGGAAGAATGATGAGAGAAATGTGGTCAGGCTCAGGGCCTGCCCAAATCATCCTCCCAGATTTACTGACATACTGACAATGCTAGGCATCCCTACTGTTCCCAAACAGGAGTACTTTCCATGTCCCCCAATGTCCACCCCTATCTCCTCCCTGGTTTGCAATTTGAGCCATTTTCTATGAATTCACCAAAAACACTTATTGAGCACCTACTTATTCCTACACTATATTAGCAACTATGAGGACACAGGCGAGAAGAACATAGAGTACTGCAACTTGGAATGAGAAGTGGGTCTGAGGGTCTAGCCTTGCTGGCCTCAGAACCCATAAGCGTATTGAGAGGTGAGACACAGCACAGTGCCTAGGGTATGAGGAGTGAGACAGGGAGAAAATGAGGAGCAGGACAAAAAGGGCAAGCTGCCTCATCAGTACTTTAAAAACAGAAGAGACACACTGGGCTACCCAAGGAAACCTTCTGGGAGTGTGGGGTTCCTGGCAGAGAACTGGCAGAGAGAGGTCAGCCAGGCTGCAACAGGCTTCAGATGACAGACAAAAGGTGATAAGGTGCAGAAGGGTATGCTGGGGTAAACTGGGAAAATATTAGATAGCTGCCTAAATTAATGTAAAAAACAGATATCGATCAATTATAATGAACAAAGCTGCCTCCCTAAGGATGTCCACACCAGGACGGGGTAGCCATTAGAAATAAAGGATGGTGGGACCAGCAGGTGGCATAATGGTTTCGTTGCTGGATTCTCAAGTAGTCCACTGTGGTTCGAGGCCCAGACCCAGAGGCTTAAAACTCAGGCCAGGCACATGTCCGTGCATGCCCAAAATCCTGAGAGGAGAATGGAAATGAAGGGACTGAGGTCTGGCCACCCCACCTCCACAGGGTGAGTTCTCACTTTCTCTCTGTCTCTCCAGCTAGTGCACGCACCCTATAGCAAAAATCTCTCTAAAAATAAATAAGAAAAGAAGAAAGAAAATAAAGGGTGGCTGCTCTCATTAAGCTTAGCAGAACACAAACAGATAAAAAACCTGTAGCTCAGCCCTGCACTTCCCCAAGCAAGGACACCGACACCTATGGATTTAATCTTACTTCCTCACATTGGCTTCAAATCACTGATTCACCTGACCTTAGCAACTCCTGGTGCCCGCACCTGGTTGCATCTCAGTAGAGGCTTCTTCCCAGTGACCAACCAAACATCTCACATTTTCCCCACATTCTCCTTCTACCTTCCCCACCCTTTGACTTGTAGATTCTCGTTGCCTAAAACTCATCTCTCCTCCATAATAAAACCCTTCGATGTTCCAATCCAGTCACTGCTTTTTCACGCCAGTGGCACCGAAATGAAGTTCACAATTCACCTCCTCCACAAAACCTTCCCAAGTCCATCCCTTCTCAGCGCCAGGGCCAGTCCATTTCTCCTTCTCCTTGCTTTAGTGTGTGGCTTGCTCTGATTTGCTGGACTACTGAACTTCCTCTTCCATGTCCTCCTGGGCCCACATACTGGCTACACTGGCTCTCTACAGTGTTCCTCCAGCACACTGACTTGCTGCTTAGGTTTTGCTCATTTTTCTGTCACTTTGTCAGCAGTTAGTTCTAGGGCAAGGAGGATTCACCTCACACCCCTGTCTTCTCTCTGTATGAAGTCTAGGGCTCTGCACCTGATAGGTGTGCAGATGAACATGATTAAGAGTTCAAGAGTTAAGATGAAAAGTGGGCAAACAGAAAGCTGTAGCCTCACATGGATAGAAATGCTGAGCACATCCACCCCCAGCAGGAGTGTTTGCAACACATACAGGGAAAGGGTGACGTGGGGAAAGCCAGCTAGGGCTGCTGGTGCCAGTGGGTAAGGAAGCAACAGAGAAGGTGTATGGCAGACTCTGGAAGCTCTAATTGTGATCTAGCAAGTGTTGACACTTCTCTGAGCCTCAGTTTTCTCACCTGCAGAATGGAGATAATGAGCCCTGCCCTACCTCTCCCACAAAACAAAGAGACAATCAAATTTTTAAGAAATTTGAAGCTGGCAGAGGCCTAGGGCTTGGCCTAACTCCACCATCTGTGAGATGAGGAAAGAACTTTCCAGAGGTGAAACAACTCGCTCAAAGTACAACAGGGCAAATCACGCTGAGTGGAACCTACATGGCAAGTCCTCAAAGCAAGGGCTTCTGACTCTGTACCCAGGAGGGCATTTCCCGAATGCCTTTGTAAACTGCAGAAAGCTTTAAAAATAACGGGTTGGTCCTGGCTCCACCTCTTCACTGAGTGGCCTTGGGCAAATCGCTGCTTCTAGGTGCCTCAATCTTCCGCATCTGAAAGGAAGTGGAGCTGAAACTACCTCACGGGTATCCTCTGGAAGGCAGAGTGCCGGCCTCGGGAACAAGGAAAACCCTCGCCTTACACGCCAGCTTTTTTTAGATCCGATTCACATCCAATGTGATGGGGACAACTTGGGCCCCGGTTTTGACGGCCTAGGGGTCGATCCCTCAGGGACCTTGCATAAAGCATTTTGGGACTCCGCGCGTCAGTTTCACCATCTGCAAAATGGGCCTGAGAGCCGGACTAAGGCCGCCTGTTGCCGCCAGGGGGGCGGGACGAGACGGCGCGGCTCGGCCCTGGAAGGATGCTGAGCTCGCGGCGGACTCCGAGGGCGGGGGAAGGGTCCGAGGGCGGGTCGGCGACGCTGTTCCCCACCCCCCTGCGGGAGGGGGAGGGGCGCCGCACGCCGCGTCGCGTCGCGCACAGCCTGCTGCCGTCTCAAGCCGTCACTTGCAAAGCCCGCGCCGCATTTGCGCGTACGACCCTTACATAAGCGTCCCTCGCGGCGGCGCCGGGGCACGCCCACCCGCTCCGACCAGCCGCGGGAAAAGGAAGATGCAGAGCGCCGCGGACACTCACCTACCCAGGCGCCGCAAGTCGTCGCCGCCGCCTCCAAGCGATAGCCTCCACTGACAGGGAACAGCTGCGGTCTCCGCGCAACCAAACTTGCTGCAGTCTCGGCCCCGCCTCATAGACTTCCTATAGGCCTAGGCAGCCCAACCCCTCCTGCTATTGGGCAGTTTCCTCCGTCACTCACCGCTCCCCCGTTTACGACTCCTCCCTACGCCCTCCTGCCCGTCACATTTAAGCCTTGGCGCCCCACGTCAGTCCCGCCCTTCTCGTCGCAAGCGGGCCCCTGCATTGGTAGTGAGGCTGTGAGTGCCCGCCCCTGGCGCGCCACCGCCTACTCCCTTGTCTTCGGAGCCTCACGTGGGCAGCCGGGTCCCGGCCGCAGCCCGCAATAGGCGGAAGTGGCTGGGTTCCGGCATGCCGTGATTGGCTGTTGGCGGGGGTGGGGACGTGCGATTCATTCACCCGAGTAGCACGTGTCTCCCAAAGCCGCAAGCATAACAGATCGCACCCGGCTCCGGCATCCCGGCTAGACGCAGATACACGCTAGCGAATGGAGAAGGCCGAGGACAGACGTTAGCCAAGAGTGGGAGGGAGGAAAAGGCGCCTGTGCCACACGAATTTCCGTGACTGTGCCCTTTAGCAGCTGCGTGGGTGGCGATGATGGTCAAGAACCCGTCTCTGTGTGACCTTGGACACGCAACTTCGCCTCTCTGAACCTCAGTATCCTAAATCTGCCCAGGGCCTGGAGGGTTTAGAAGACTTGGTTGGGATATAAAATGAAAGCTTCATAAACTAGGCTCTGCCAACGAAGGGATAGGGTAGTGACCAAAACAAACCAAAACCCTGCCTTCCAGTGACAGGAGTCAGACAATAAACAAAATACACGGGCATGTCAGATGGTAATAAGAGCAAAGAGAAAAAAAAAATAATAACCTGCTTCCAGACAGTGAGAAGGATCAAGGACTGTGAGAACATCTTGTTAACTGAAAATTGCTTGTTGACCATGGGAAGATATCAGGATTCCTTTCTCTTGTCGGACTCTAATGTAAACAGTTTGTCAATCTAGCTTCTTTGTCCTTCCTTCCACCTATCCCGCAGAACCTCAGCCCTGGGTTATCCAACACAGTTATTTCAGTAGCAGAATAAGGATTAAAACCCCAGTTCTCTAGATCAAGACATTCATTCAATTAACAATACCTCTTGAGCACCTACTACATACCTGGACACAGTGACAGGCAACACACAGAGCTCATAGAGTTCATATTCTATTGGATGTCCAAGTTCTAAGACTTTCTACCTTACAGCTTTCTTTACACAGGAAAGAGTTAAAGCCATGTGGCCTTGAGTAAGTCTCTTCCCTCTGTGGGCTGGATTTCCTCATAAAGAGGGTTGGGCACTATGGACACCAGGTATATCATTTACTTATTACTCTTTCAGTGCATGCCTATCTTGTGACTTCATCACTTCTTGTCTCTGTCTTATCTCCCCTGCTGACATGGATCCTTGTGTCCCTCAGAAAAGGTGACACCCTCCTCTAGGACTGGCCATGCCCTTGGAGCTATGATGTGGCCACTCAGGCCTGGTTGGTCACTATAACTCCTGGGTCTGAAGTAGAGTGTGGAAGACTCCATCCAGTTCACGTGACTCCCAGGTCAACAGTTCCAGACAAAGGTCTGAACAAAGAAACTCATTGAGTAGAACTTGAAAATGTATTGCTGTGAAGTATGGGTTTAGAAAAGTTAACACCAGCATGTAAATTATCTCGCTCGATTTAGATTAGGAAACAAAATATCTCAGCTGGCAGGTGGTGTGGTGGTTAAAGACACTGGACTCCCACATGGCCAGCTGCGGTTCGAGTCCCAAACCTGGTGGCTTGTTTTCTCACTTTCTCTCTCTTGCTCTGTACCTCTCTAGTCAAATTAAAATAAATAAATGGAGTGAAATAAAATAATTCTTCCCCCAAAAAATCTCTATCCAAGTTCTCTCCTACTTCCAGAATGAGTTCCCTGGGAGGACAAAATTGGAAAAGATAGGGGCCAGCAGATAGCCTAACGGTTATATCGCTGGACTCCCACCCACATGGCCAAACGCGGTTCAAGTCCTGGACCCAGAGGTTTGAAACTCATGCCAGGTGCCTTCTCCCCGCAGGGGTGATTTCTCACTTTCTCTATCTCTCCGATGAGTGCATGCATTCTATAGCAAAAAGTCGCTCTTAAAAAAGAAACTCTCAAAACAAATACACAAAAAACTGCCTGGACAACAGCCTGGTGAGGAGTCTAAAGTGCCTATTAAAAAAAAACCATATCAGAGACCAGCAGGTGGCGTGGTGATTAAGGCGCTGGATATTCCCACATGGGTGAACACGGTTCGAGTCCCAGACCTGGTGGCTTACTTACTTTCTCCCTTTCTCTCTCCCTTTCTCTCTCTGTTCAGATTAAAATGAATGATTAAATACAGTAAAATATATAAATCTTTAAAAATAATAATAAAGTAAAAATAATAATTAAAAAAAAACATATCGTGGGCATCAGCAGTTGGCATAATGGCTATGTAAATACTGGACTCCCATGTAGTTGACTGCAGTTTGAGTCCTGGACCCGGTGGCTTAAACTCATGTGCTGGGCGCATATGCTTGGATGCCCAAGATCCCGAGAGGAGAGTGGAGGAGAAGGGATTGCAGCGTGGCCATCCCCTCAGGGGGTGATTTCTCACTTTCTGTCTCTCTGTTCCTCTCTGTCTTTCTGGCAAGCATACAGGCCCTATAGCAAAAACCTCTCCCCCCAAAAACAAACAAACAAACAAACAACATCTTAGACCAACCCTGCAGCCTGGTGATTAAGGGAACCGGATACCACATGGCTGCCTGCAGTTCAAACCCTAGTCCCAGTGGCTTTCAAAACACACTAGGCTGGGGGCCAGCAGTGGTATGGTGGTTAAGGGCACTGGACTTCCACATGGCCAACCAGTTTGAGTCCTAAACCTGGCTGCTTGCTTTCTCATTTTCTCTTTCTCTCTCACCCTTTCTCTCTCTCTCTCTCTCTGTCCCTTTCTGGTCAAATTAAAATAAATAAATAAGGTTAAAATAAAATAATTCTTTAAAACACACACACAGTAAGCACATATGCATGTATCCCCCAAATCCCAACAGGATGGAGATAGGAAGGAGAAGGAATTATGGCGCAACCACTCCCCATTGGGAGGAATACTTTCTTCCTCTCTGTCTCTCTCTGGTGAGTACAGGTGCCATTTGGCAATTAAAAAAAAAAGTTAGGGGCCAGCTGGTGGCCTAGTGGTTAAGGCACTGGACACCCATGTAGTCAACCACAGTTCAAGTCCTAGACCCCGAGACTTAAAACTCATGCCAGGCACTTGTGTGTGTATCCAAAATCCTGAGAGGAGATGGAGGAAAAGGAATAGCAGCGTGGCCGCCCCTCAGAGGGTCATTTCTTGCTTTCTGTCTCTCTATCTCTCTCTCTGTTTCTCCACTGAGTGCCATATAGCAAAAATCTCTCTCTCCAAAAAAAATTTTTTAAGAAAATAAAAAGCATTTCTTAGTGTGGGCTACTGTACTACAAGTGACAGAATCTCTTCCCTGGGTTAGGGTGCTGTTGGGAAACACAGCATTGAGCCCCATTCCATGTTCTCATACATATTAACCATCAACTCCGAACTTTAGAATTCACAGAAGAATATCTGAGTCATATAGGTATCCTAAATCCATCTCTAGGGAATGAGACCCTCTTCATTGCATTGCTAGGCTTTAGAAGCTCTCCAAATGTTTTTTTTTTTTTTTTTCTTGTTGGGGGGAGAGGTTTTTGCTATAGGGCGCGTGCACTCGCCAGACAAACAGAAAGAGACAGAGAGACAGAAAGTGAGAAATCACCCCCCAGGGTGAATGGCCACGCCACAATCCCTTCTCCTCCATTCTCCTCTCGGGATCTTGGGCACGCATGCACACGTGCCCGGTGTGAGTTTAAGCCACTGGGCCCAGGACTCAAACCGTGGTCGACTACGTGGGCGCTAACTGCTGGCCCCCTCTCCAGATGGTTTTGATGGGAGTCAATGTTGAGATCAACTGAGAGGCTAAGGAGGTATTACCCAGACATTCCTGAGGATAAGAATCTCCTGAGGTTCTTTTAAAAATAAAACAAAACAGGGACTAGCAGGTGGCATGGTGGTTAAGGTGCTGGACACTCCCACATGGCTGACCACAGTTCAAATCCTGGACCCGGTGGCTTGCTTTCTTACTTCCCCGCTTCTCTCTCTCTCTCTCTGTTTCTCTCTATGTCAAATTAAAAAAAAATGAATGAATAAATAAAATTTTAAAAGATGTTGAATATCGTTTAAAAAATAATAATAAATAAAAATAAATAAATAAAACAAAACAGATACCTGGGTTCACACCTACCCCTGTGCATTATGATACAGTAAAATTGAGTTGGACTCCAGGAATCTTCTTATTCATTTTTTTAAAAACAGGCTTCGGGGAACCAGCAGTTAGTGTAATGGCTATGTCACTGGACTCCCACATAGTCGCCCGTGGTTCGCATCCCGGACTCAGTGGCTTAGAACTCACGCCGGGTGAGGGCGTGCGTGCCCAAGATCCCGAGAGGAGAATGGAGGAGAAGGGATTGCGGTGTGACCATCCCCCTTGGGGGGTGATTTCTCGCTTTCTATCTCTATGTCTCTCTCTGTCTGGCGAGCGCACGCGCCCTATAGTGAAAAACCTCTCAAAAAACAAACAAACAAAAAAACAAGCTTCCAACTGATTCTTGAGGTCTGTAAAGTTCTGCAAAATATGCTGAGTTCTTAGGAAGATCTAGTTAAGTTTGGCACATAGTTGGTGTTTAATAAATAGTTGGCAAATGAAAGAATGGGGTTCATCTGCCCAGGTTTAGTAGTTAAAACTACTGGAGTGAATGAGACTGACCCAGAGTACATGAGAGAGCAGAGTCCAGAGGGCCGCACATTTAAGGGGGAGGAGAATGTTAAAGAGACAATATCCTGGAACAGGTGAGGGAAGGGGCGCGCACTGACCAGGAGGAGCAAGTTCTAAGGAAAGGGACTTTGTCTGTATCTCTGGGAAGGAAGTTGGGGTAGTGGGAAGACAATAAACCATTTCAGAAGCACCCATTGGAGATGCTGCAAAATATGAGCAACTTTCCCAGTTCCCAAGCTGCTCCCAGACCAATGTGGACT